ATAAATTTTTTTTTTTTTTTTTTTTCAAATATTACTTATTATAATAAGTATATTAATAATAATATTATAATTCTATTTGCTTTAGTTTTTGTCTGTGGGTCATTAAATTAGCAAATAATGAAAAGAATATACAAATCTGTCATTATTATAACATAATAAATAAGTATTTATGTTAACTTAATTTTTTTTGTTATCTGAAATAGGGCTTAAATAATTGAAAATATAAATATTAAATTTATATAACTTAAAGAAACTAAAATAAATGTTTAAAACATAAAATAAGCAATGTTGTCTTGGAAACTATCTGAAATAAAATAAGCTGAAGTACTAAAATAATAAAAGTAAAACCAAAATAAATATAAAATTAGTTAAATAGGCATTTACAAAAAAAAAACCTAATAAAAACTGACAAAAGCATATAACAGAAGCACCATTTTTTTATTTTATTTTATAAGTTAAAATAAAAACTTAAAATCAAAAACAATTAATAGCGAATTCAAAACATTAATATATACTGCAATAGTATATAAACAATACTAAAATAACACTGCATTTTACTGTATTAATACACTTATTTTTGAATCAATGTGAAAAAAATACGCATAAAACTGAGACTTTGATGTGACTTGGCTTTAATAAAATGTTTGTTAATATGAACATAGAATATACTAGATTTTAATTTAATGTATAATATATTGTTCGCTGCAAAGTAAAAGCTATCACCTAAGCCTTTCTTACAGAAGCCACCTCATTTCAGAAGACCACCATACTCCACTGATTAATACCCAGAGGTCTTTGTTTGTCACCTGTACAATGTTGATTCCCTGTAAGGCGGCGATCCGGCAAGGGGTTTGCTGGTTGCCATTGTTACCCAAACCAAGCTGCCCATTGCAGTTATAACCCCAGCCGTAAGTCTGTCAACACAGAGCCTTGAGATAAACCAAGTGCTAATTACAGCAAATAATGTACAGTAACAATAATTACCAAAAAAACAACAACAACAACAACTACAATTATCATTTTACTATGAAAACATGAAGGAATCACTGTCAATATTAGGTGAGAAAAGAGATTATAGAGAAAATTATTGAGAAAAGTATCACTGAGAAGTGTTGAAGGCATAATAAAGCACAACAAAACTCACAGCTGACAGTTGAGACAGTCTTTTGATATGCGGCAGTTGTTGATTGTAACTAAGTAACAGAACTAAACATCATATCCTGACAGCATGTCAACTTTTCCTAAAAGCATGCTCATCAATAATAGGGTTTTAACATATTACTTTAGAGCAAATAATTATTTAAAACACACTCAATACATCAAAAAAAACAATTACTCATGCCCCCTGACACATGCATACATTCCATAATAAAGAATTTTATTTTTTTTATTTGATGGCTAATCCAGCAAATAGTAATACATGTGATTACATGTGAAAACATATAATCTAATTTATTTGATTATTTTTTATTTGATTGTCATCTGTAATTCTTGATTAAACTCTTCTTGTTATTTAAACTCACCTCTCCATTATCCAGAACGGCCATAGAGCAGAGCTGTCCACAGGCGATGTTGACCACCACCTTATTTTGCAGGCAGCTGCTGACCCTGCGTGGGGTGGGCTGGTTGGCCGTGGATCCAGAGCCCACCTGCCCGGAGTTGTTGTATCCCCAAGCATACACCTGAGAACAAGAGAGGAAATAAGTAACTGGAGACTGTTCAAGTAACTGTAAGCGGTTTAAAGAAAAAGCATGAAATAATTGGAATGCAAGGTTATCTACATAGGATGTGACAAAGCGACCGGTGCAAATCATTTGAACTTTGTGCCTGTACATCATAAATAAAATGAGGCATCAGTTTACTTCTAACTCGCTCAGTTTACAAGCAGTTTTGCTCGTGTCCGGTGTAGACACGGTGTTAGTTTTCAGTGTCACATGATCCTTCATAAATCATTCTAATATGCTGATTTGGTGTCCAAGACGCATTTCTAATAATTACCAATGTTGAAAATGTTTGTGCTGCACACGTATTTTTGTTAATATATTTGTGATGCATTGATAGCATGGATGGCATGTTTTTTTGTTTTTTTTAATGATAACGTTTTTGTTTTGTGAACCTTCTTCAAAAACTTCGTTTGTTACTGTCATCTCCTGCAGTTTTATCCCATGGTCTGCCACTCCTTCAATAATGCCTTATTTCCCAACTCTGGATTTTTGCAAGAACACTCAGTTTTGAGGTCAGCCAACTGTGATTCACAGCTGCTCCGTCTTTTTGATCAAGTACCTCATTGACTTCACTCGTGTTTCAGTACCTTCAGGATATTCCAGCTAGTCATTTTCAGGAACCTTGTGTTAAAAATTGTTGGGAATTTTCTGCATGAACACAGGAAACTCTTTCTTCTCTCAGACTTTAATATTTATTATGCTGAACATGTCAAGTAAGGGCATTTGAGTTGCCCATTTCCGGGGTAACTTGTCAAAAGTGGTGAATATTTGCAATGAATCTTTTATAATTAACTTACTAAGATTTTTGTCATTTTGTTTTTCCATTTTTTCCATTTCATTCAAAAAATAAAGTCGTAACCCTAGTGAAAAATAAATATACTAAAATGTATTTGAAATACATTTATTTTATGCTAAGCACACTACAAATACCTTTACATATTTTTTATATGTACTTACTAAAAGTACCCTGCAACTGTACTTTTAGTATCCTAAACTGGTATCCTTAAAGTCTGCTAAATTGGAACAAAAAATGTTGTACTTAAATGCACTTTAATTGTGCGGAAGTAGTGCTGAAGTCCAACTAAAGATATGCTGAAGTATATTTGATTGTGTTAAAGTGGAACTATTGCAAGTATACTTTAGGTACAATTTAAATATCTTGCATTTAAAACCAATATTATTCAAAGATCATACAATCCTCATCAATAGTGACATTAAAACACATTTTAGGCTTAATATTAAAGGTGCCATAGAATCGCATATGTTATTGAATAATAACAGTTCTGTACATGGAAACCATTGTTTCCTCCTCCTTATGTAAATCTTGTGCATGCAAAAGACCACTGAAAAATAGGCGAATCAGAACATAACACCGACCGTGACGTTACAGTCGGGATCACTAATAGTTACGCCCCCAACATTTGCATATACCCGCCCACGTTCTATGCCAGCCGCCAGCCGAACCTGCACAGCCGAATCATCAGAAGTTCTGCAGGTATTGTGAAGAAACAAGCGAGGATAATAGCGAAAATGGCAGATCATGGAAATAAATGTTATGTTCCAGGCTGTGCAGGGGATGTGATGTGCAGGGATGGGTTAGTGTCTGTATTCAGAAAGGCACGGAAAACAAATAACGCACGTTCTAATAAAATTTACCACATAAACAGAGTAAGGAGAGATGACTGAGGATGATGGCGAATGATTTACAGATCCTGAGCACCACTGACAATGATCTGATCTTGTAAAATGTGTGGTAAGTACTGCCGCTGTAGTTTACACAGATCAAGTGCGATCGCAAATCTTGAAAGTGAAAGTAAAACGCGATCGTGCATTCGAAAGCAGTTTCAATGCCCCGCATATTAATAGCGGCTCCCTGATGCCCGCATTTTATATACAGTTTTTGCCCTTAACTAAGCCACATACCTTCTATGTAGATATCAGAGAACAATTTAAAATATTGTATCAATGCATTCTATGGCACCATTAAGAAATGTGCATTGTGCACAAGTAGTAATCCAAATAAAGTTAAATAATTTTTATATCAGTACGTCTCGAGCAATATGTCAGTAAATATGTAAATAGATTTGAACTATACTTAGGATTAAATAAATGTATTTTAAATATATTACTTTTTTACTAGGGAAGTGAAAACAATTAGACAGAATAGTGGTTCTGCACTATTAAAGCTATTAAAATATAAAATAGCTGCCTTTATATTTTAGGAAGGGGTCCCTCACAAGGGGAATATAGTATTTAGGGCACTTTGACATTAAAAAGATTAGATTAAAGGACAAAAACTGTTGTATAAATATATAATGTATAATGATATAAAGACATTAGAAACTGTTGTATAAAGGCATAATGATATAAAGGCATTCAGTATAATTATAGTAACAGAGCAGTATTATATGGAAACCATAGGATAACACAAACTTTTTGTGAGAAAAAAACTGAACTCAGAATTCTGTTGTGTGATTTATTGTTTTGTTCTGTAAGATGTAAACTCAGAAATGTGGGGGAAAATCCAGAAAAAAAGATTTTCCATTTCCTCATTTTTGTTTGATAAAATCATAACCAGCATATCTTTTTTTTTTTTTTACCTCTCCCTCTGTGGTGAGGGCTATGGTGTGATGAGAGCCACAGGCCACCTCTGTCACCCTCTTGCTGATGAGGTTGGTGGAAACCAAGGCAGGAGTCAGACCGTGGTTGGTGGTGCCATTACCCAGCTGACTGTAGCCATTGTGACCCCAGGCATAAACTTCTCCATCTACAGACACAGAAGACAAGATATAGATCTGAAGATGACAAAACTTTGTCTCAGGTCTTTGGTTGGGAGACAAACATACTGGAAAAGCAGATCTAGAATCTACTATACAAGGCCTAAATGAACAGTGCCAAACAAAAATAAAATTGGCTTTGGTGAGTATAAAACTGAACTTGAACAGCTGACATACGTGATTTAATCAAAGACACAGGCCTAATGTTGACCATCTGAAAACATCTGCTATGACTCAACTTTTACCTCAGTGGAAACTGAATCATTTCATGTTTATCAGGTATGAAAATGTTTTGTTTTCCAAAACTCATGTTGCAACATGTAGAATATTTCTCATATTACAAACTATAAAAAATCACACTTGATCATTTGTTTTGTTTTTGCCATCTGTCGTCAGACTGCATAGATGTTTAGTTAATCCTAATAAGTGTTTTTAAAAGGCCTCCTGAAGGTTTTACCACAAAACGAAACCATTTAAAGCAGAGGTGGGTGAAGAAAACATTATCTTGATCTTATAACACACAATCACTATCCACGATTGGAGTTGCAATCTTCCTAATTTTGAAATGTGCCATTTAGAATATCCAGACTGGAACAAGCCAATGGACTTATCTATATGAAACATGTAAAACTCTATATTGCATTAAAGAATCGGTTAAAACACTGCATAGTGCATAGTCTTTTCTGTATGAATTAAATATAAGCAGATTTTTAAATCTACTAATGTTATTCTTTTAAGAGCAGTGAGAGGTTTTCTCTTTGTCTTTTGTTGTTTGATTTAAGACCAATTATGGATCGAATACATGAATCCGCTTATAAAGAGGGACAAAAGTACACCTCTTTAAAGGGGTCATATGATGCGATTTCAATTTTTCCTTTCTCTTTGGAGTGTTACAAGCTCTTGGTGCATAAAGAAGATCTGTAAAGTTGCAAAGACTAAAGTCTCAAATCCAAAGAGATATTTTTTATAAAAGTTCAGAGTCAGCCACACCTACCTAAAACGGCTCGTTCGAACACGCCCCCACATATCTACATCACTATGTGGGAAGATTTGCATAACGCCGCCGAAATGTTCACGCAAAGAAAGAAGGCGTAACTTTTAGTCTCACTGTAGTTTTGTTGACACTGCAGCCATGTCGTGAAGACGCTGTGTGCTTCGCTGTGAAAGCGAAACTACTTTGTTTGGTCTTCCAAAAGAGAACGATATCCGCTTCGTCATGCCTAGAGCTGATCTGTGCTGGTCGCTGAGGGAATACATCAACTTTCACCGTGGACGAAGCGGAATCCAGCCCGGGGTCCGTCACATGTGGTTGCCGTTCATTCGTCGGATCCGCCAGGCACGCCGTTCTCGATCCCGCTGCCTCAGCTCACTCTTGCCCGGCCTCAGCGCACGCTAAGTCAGGGCTTCCCCTCACGCTAGGCCGCTGTGTTTTTCGTTGTGAAAGCTTAACTTTAAACCGCATAAACACATTTCATTACACCAAATACACAAAATAATGTTCTTTTTAGCAGCATCATATGACCCCTTTAAAGGAAAGGAGCGGCATTGATTATCACATTTTCATTATCATTGGAAGCCAAATTAAAATCGAAACTTAAATTTGATTAATCGCACAGCCTAGCTAGCTCACGTGGATATGTCAACACTCATGAAAAAAACGCATTATATAAACATGTGATACAATTTGACCAGTCAGCACAGCCATCTAGTAGCCAGTCAATGTTTTAGTTTTTACATCATTATGCGGACATAAAAGATTCACTTGAAAAGTAGATTGTGGATGTCTTCAAGATCGAGCATTGCTAATAGCATTATATTAAACAGATGACAACTCTTAGTACACTGAGCTCAGACCCCACACTTACACAGGCCTAATCTGATACATAGTCAAGTCAGTCAAATCATGTCTGAATGTGGAATACATCTCCCATGAAATTCTGTGATATAATCTCAAGACCCATAAACACTAGATTGAAGATTAAACTTCAGTGTGATGATGTGCTACTACGACATGCCTTTAACACAATCCCTGATGTAAAAAGCTTGCAAAAAATACTTTAAAATATTTTTAATAATTAATATTATATATATATTTTAATAATTAAATCATGGTTTAGACCAGCGGTGCCCAAACTCGGTCCTGGAGGGCCGGTGTCCTGCAGAGTTTAGCTCCAACTTGCCTCAACACACCTGCCTTTAAGTTTCTAGCATGCCTAGTAAGAGCTTGATTAGCTGGTTCAGGTGTGTTTAATTGGTGTTGGAGCTAAACTCTTCAGGACACCGACCCTCCAGGACCGAATTTGGACACCCCTGGTTTAGACATTATACTTCTATACATGCCTCTTGATGCTTTCATTACAACTACAACTGCAAGACTTCATTACAACAAGTCACTGCAGCTCACCATGTTTTTACATTTTGCTTATGATAATTTTAAATTCAGATCACACCCACTTCCATAAGGTCTGTTTATATACATTTACAATCTTGATAAACTAGTATAAATATCATTAGGAACGTACGGGGACGGGGAATGTCCTGCTTATATATTATAATATCTGACCCCTCATATTACAGCTGCACAATAATATATAATAATAATAATAATAATACACATTTATGATAAACAAATAATAATATTAATGAGTTTTCGCCATTGAAAGATTTCTAATTTCGCCATCCTGCAACCACAATTATTTGGTACAGGCAAATACCAAATCATCGCCATTGTTTCATGTCAAAAATCTGTCCAACCTGCAGTGGCGATGACCACGTGTGGCCCTGTGCCGTAGCTCAAAGATACAATTTTTTTCCCACACAAGATGTCTATCCGCCTGGGCTCAATGGTGCTTTGCGTGTCTCCCAGCCCCAGGCAGCCACTGCAGTTCGTCCCCAGTGCAAACACCTGTGGGTGACACACACAAACACATCAGTTAGGTTGTTTAACACTTGACACAAACTTTTCATTATGTTTATTTATATTTACTTATAGTTAGAACTTAATCTTCACATAAACTATAAATTGTATAAGAATAAACTATAAATTGAATACAGATTCTTTCTTTCTTTCTTTTGTTGTTTGATTTACATCAATGACAGACTGCAGCAGGTTTCACTTTAAATGCAGCACTGTCTCTTTAAAATCTGATGTGCATGACATGGATCTGACACACATCCGATTTTCTTCCCAGTTCTTTACGGTCATTTAGTACTTTTTAACTCATTTAAGACTGTTTATGAGGTTACTCACCAAAAATGGGCATTTTGGCATAATTCTGTGTTTTTGTTCGCAAGCTCACTGCGCTACAATCGTGCTCCACAGACAACATGCCAGCACTGAATTAAGTTCTCTTTTGCGTCTTATTGTGCTTGATAGCATGTTCATATAGTCTACTGTACCGCTAGACAAAGGGATACCAGGGGAAAAAATGGATGCCATGTTAAATACATTAAACATTTTTAGCACGATAAACTAAAAAAAAAAAAATGAATCACACAATTAACGAGTTAATTTTGACATCCCTACTTATAGTTTATTAAGCCACTGACTCTCACTCAATATTCAGAGAATATCAGTCAAGACCATGTTTACAGAACAGATAATTCTGGTTTTAAAATCTTACTGGATGAGACATTCATCCAGTAAGATTTTGAGAAGGCAGTTTTGTGCTGTCAGTTTAGCACTTGATCCCTACTTACAGTATGTACATGAGATACATGAGATTATAGAGTCGCTTTAATGAGAAAGCATTTGTTGAAAAGATAAATGGTATCTAAAGGCAGTCCATGTTTTATTGTGGTTAAAAAGCATTAAAGGAAAACAGAGCTAAAAAAGGAAGTGGCCAGGCTCAGGACACGCACCAGAGCTCCTCTCAGTAAGCAAACAAGCCTTATGTTAGTATTACGAGCCTAAATATAGCTTTATTCTATCTGCTTATCACCAGCCCAAGATCACTCTGCCTTTGTCTCTGTCTCTTTCCAATCAGTATATGTGTGCAGAGCTCAACAAAACATTTTTTTTCTACTGTAGCTTAGATTTTTTTACTTTCCCTGACAAAATTCTCGCCGCCTTTATTTGATAAAAACAATAATAATAAAATATGTTTAAATTTAAACCAAATTTACCTTCAATTTTAAAACGATGGCAAACAACTACTAATTTGTTTGTAATTATGAACGTATTCTTACTGAAGCATCCTTATCATTATCATGTGTGTGAGACAGTGAGAGTGTGAGAGAGCAAGAGCTCCACCAAACCCAACGAAGATTTTCCAGCAAAGATGTTTACTCATTTATGGTTAATCTGTCCACTAAAAGCTTTCAGCATGTCTGTACCTCGTCATTGACGGTAACGTAGATAGCCTCATTTGCAGCGCTACCGAACACACAGGCTTGGCGGATGAGCCGCAGTTCCTCAGGGGGCAGGAGGGCAAACAGCGGCCACTTTCCCACGTCCAGCATACTACTCTGTGACACAACATATATGCATTAGGAAAGCATTAGCGCATCTCGAAAACTTGTTAGCATTTTTGGGTATCTCTCTCGCTCTCTCTCTCTCTCTCTCTATATATATATACAGTATAAACACATATAGTATAAATTGCAATGAAGTACCATATAATTTTTTCAAAGCTTCACCAATAAGTACCATTTACTTCAATGTTCATAAATATGTATCAACGTGGTACCATGCTGTTCTTGGAAATAAGTACTATGGTACCACACAAGTACTTTATTGTCAAGGAAATACCATGACTTTTGAATATGGATGAAATATTTACATTTTGAAACGAAATTCTAAATTAACATTGTTACTTTAGTTAATACAGTACATGTAACATGCTAGTTAGTTTAACTGACGTAAATAAAAGAAATCCTTACCAAATAAATAATAATAATAATAATAATAATAATAATATGTGACCAAACAACAACCTTTAAAATAATAATAATATTAAACATCTAGTCAGGGTTATAAAGTATAAATGAATGTTTACGCAAATAAACGGGCGTTGTTACTCAGCAGCTGTTAGTTAGCTAACAAGCTAGCAATCGTTTACATTCATAACACCTCGTGTGCTTATAGAAATAAAAACAGCCCACAAGTCTGAATAAGCCTCAAGCTAAGATGTTCAATTACACAGTGAACCGCTCAGTAGCAGCTGTTATAACATATCTAAAGGTGTTTGAATGAGTAAAGCTGCTAGCTGATGTTAGCCAGCTGCATAGATTGACGTCATGGCGAAGTGTCAATCCAACTCAGCGCGAGGTTTTACAAAAGAAACTCTCTAAATGTTTACCTTGTGTTAACTTAAACTCCAAGTCTTCATTCCGGGTCTCAGAGGATGATGTAGATATGGTAAAGCGGTCAGTTTTGCATGACTACGAGTGAGAAGAGCAGAGATGTGGCTGTGCCCAGTCTTCTCAGCTGGCAGTGTGTCATATATGGGTGGATTTGACCCACACAGGATTTGAGCCAAACTTCCCTGATAAACAAATGACCATGGCAACTACAGTAAAATCGTATATTTACTACAGATATAGGCACTAGTGTAAAACTATAATAACTTGTGGTTAAATGTGAGATAGACTGTTAACGCTATTTTTTTAAGACAGTCATAAATAAGACAATTATAGGCATCACTAGTGACATAAAAAGTATTGAAAAATACAATGGTAAGCAAAAACGATGGTTTGGTACATTTTCGGTACAGTGGGGGAACTTTATTATTTTTTATTAAACACTGGTTTACTGAACAAATAGTGGCTTTGTCGTTAAGTTCAATTTTCTTAAGCATAAAAAAATCTATCTCATCTAATGCATTAAACTATACAAGGAACCCTATTACTCCTTGTATACTAAATAATTGTAACTAAATAATTACTCCTTGTATAATAAGTAAATACAATTCTGTTTCGGAACTGGCAACGGAGGCGTGGTATGAGATGTGTAAAAAAACATTTCTTCACACAAGTGTTTTAAGGATGAAATACTGACAAATGTCTTGAGGTATGGCGACTGTGGTATAAGCGGAACAGGGCCATAGTTGGGTAATGTGGAGCCCCGGTGCAGGTTGAAGCTGTGAGCCCTGGTTCGCCTCAGTTGACATCGCATTCTGGGGGCCGCATCAACAGCCAGGGGCCCCTAGAATCGTCACCAACTTTCTCCCAGAGATTGCCCTGAAGTGGAATAATTGTGACTGCATTACCACCAGGTATGCTTTATTTCAAATATTCCTATGCACAGTGTACAACTTGTGTCATATAGTGTGACAACATGCATCATAGTGTATCAAGCAACTGTGAACAGTATCTTTTTTCCTGGGAAATAGCAGTTGTTTGTTTTATTGTAGCCAAGCCTTTGTGTCTATAAAGAAACTGACTTGAATAAACTCTGAGAAATACTTACTGGAGTAAAAAAAAATATGACATCTATCCCCATGCTATAATGCCTATCAACTGATACCATATGGTACCACCACAGTAAATTTCTCCCAGTGCCTAGGTCATATTTCATACCAAATTTGCAAGAAATGAAAATATCAGTAACATGCATTTATAAAACAGATTGAAGTTCCATGTCATGCTGACGTCAAGGATAAAAATAAAAAAAAATGATGACAATTATACACATTTACCCTTTAAAATAAAATATGTGTTATATATTTTCTTAGAAATTACAACTGTAAATTTCTAAGGCCTGGCATAAACACATTTTGAAGGTGTGGTGCCACCCCTGGGAAATTATGTCCATTACCCAGTTACTAGAGTTGAGTTTTATGTTCGGTGTCATTAATTCTAAATGCATTAAATGTATTTATAAAACCTCCTCATTAAATCCTTACTCAGCATGTGATGACTGGAAACACACTTCATTTTGGGAATGTCATGCATCAACAACAAGGAAATCTCAAGAGTAGAGCAGACCCAAACTGAGTTTATCTTGGATCAGACAATGTATACTTCTACATGTGGTTTACAAATAATTTGATCCAACTTATTATTAGGTTTTAGTTTATATAATATAATATGGATATGGTTGTATGAATATACCGCTTCGGATACCTCCGGCAGAAGATCAGAGATGATTGGGTGTGTCTGTGGTCTGAGAAATTGAGTCATTTCTCCAGAGCAGCAGTTGTGTAGAGTCATGTCTTTATATGGCTTCCTCTCACCACTCTTACTGTTGCACAGGATTTAGGTTACATTTGTGGGGACTGGACTATTTTGGACTTCGTGGATTTAGGTTTTTGGCTGCCTCTTCACAAGTAAGTGCATTAGATTTTTTTAGTTAAAATAGACATTGTTTCAATAGACTATTGATAGTGAGGTACTGTATATATACTTTTAGCATGCACCCTAAAAAATAAAGGTTCAAAAGGGGGGTTTTCAGAATGATGCTTAAAATATTTTTTTTGTTCTTAGTGTGAAGAACATTTTAATCGTCTAAAGAATCCCTTTTCCACTATAAAAACCTAAAGGTTCTTCATGGAACCATCAAGGCCAATAAACAACCTTTGTTTTTAATGGTATACATATTATTATAATTTATTGTAATGATAATGGTGTTAAAAATATATCTTTGTAGATATATTGCAGATTGTATTAATGCTTCAGTTCCTACAAATGTAAGATAATATGGATTTATCTCTTTCCAGAGACAAGCAGACCAGTCCAATTATTATTTAAAAAAATATATTTCCTATGGGTCTTTGCTCAACAACATGTATGTTCAAATGTTGTGTTTTGTGTTTTAATGCAGCATTTAGATAATCAAGACTGTGAATTAAACAGACTGTTATCAATTACAGCAGCAGCTGCAACTGAATAATAAAATAGACCATGTATGTATGTCCAACAGTGGACACAAGTGATATGCAAATGATGCATTCAATTGTATTCTGTGATGAAAATGACCATTTTTAACATTTTGGAATAAAATGACTGATCCCTTTGTCTTTCTTAGGTTAATTCCATAACTAGCAATTTATGTATCCTAAATACACACATTTGTCATACACTTTTCTTTATAATTTGACAAAATTACAGCTTAATTGGAAATTATGCACATACAAGACAAAAACAATTTAGGTTCCTGAGAGATTTTATTTAGGGCGTTATACCACAAACAGCCATTAAAACTCCATTTTTAAAATGCATTTTTCTGTCACAAATGTCTAAATATCTCTGTCAATATTACTTCTATCACAAAATAACCACCAAATATGGAATCTTGAGACTCAGACCGACGATGTGCCTTTTGTTAAGATTATAAAAAGTTTTGATTCTAAAAGACCATAATACATTTTGTAATATGACACCTGACTCCACCCACTAAGGGGGAGGAGACAGCCAAAAGATTTTAAAGTAACATTTCCATGGTAAAGCAATGTCCGATTACAAAATGGTTTTCACAGGATGAATTTTGAGGTTTTAAGCTTTCAAATGATATGTAATTAATGATTATTACTAAGATATGTGACAGAGAAAAAAGACAACAAAAAAAAGAGCGCCAACAGGCCCACCGGTGGGCCGGTGGCACTTAAGAGGTTAAACAAAATCAACCCTTGGGACATAAAAGTGCCTGAAACACTCACATATTTAGCTGTCTAATTTGAAAATGGTTCAGATTCCTTATTCATTTTTTAAAATGCCATCTCTTTGATTTTGTTCACAGAATTCCCCAACCCAACAATGAATCATTATTCATCGAATTTCACAAACTGCTCCATCAGTGATTTCAAGCGCACCGTCTACCCAATTGCCTATCTCTTCATCTTTTCCCTTGGGCTTGTTGGCAACCTCATATCTCTGTTCTTCTTCATTTCCTCATCGTTCAGACGAAAAGCGTCTTTTTCTCCAGTCAACATCCTCATGCTCAATCTCCTTCTATCTGATCTGATGATGGTGTGCTCGCTGCCGTTTCGAGCCGCCTACTATCTCATGGACTACTGGGCCTTCGGAGACATCACCTGCCGGATCATGTCCTGCGTCTTCTACATCAACATGTACGGCAGCATCTACTTCCTGGCGGTTCTGAGCATGGTTCGCTTCGTGGCCATCGTGAAGCCCTTCACATACGTGCGCTGGCAATGCTCTAGGAAAGCCTGGGTGTTATGCATTGTCATCTGGCTGATCGTGTCTGTGGCGTCCATCCCGCTTCTGAAAGCAGGAACTTACGTGGAGTCTAATCAGACCAAATGCCTGGATCTGAGGCCGTCCCAGGTGGGGACCATTATCATGTTGAATCGAGGGGTTTTGTTTTTAGGCTTCGTTATGCCCTTCGTGGTCATCTCAGTGTGTTACATTTTTGCAGCCTTGTATTTGCTAAAGCTAAGGAAGACCAGGCAGAATCAAAGATCTCAGTTCAATCACAAGAAGTCCTGCTCTCTCGTCATTATTGTTCTGCTGATTTTTCTCGCGTGCTTTATGCCGTATCATGTCGTCCGAACTCTGTTTTTGGAGGCTGAGATGGACATTCATAACAAAGGTTATGACGAGTCCTGCCATTATATTGAAAGTCTGAGAAAGGCAGCGGTCATCACACACTGTCTGGCCTCGGGAAACAGTTGCCTGGATCCACTGCTTTTCTTTTTCGTTGGGGAAAACTTCATTAGCTTTTGGCGACAACATACACCGAGAAGACAGAGTTGTATAATTGAGCAGAATGTGAAAGTGTTGGAGAAGATAAACAACAATGATTTAGATAGACGTTTTAGACTAGTATAGAGTGCTTGGGACCAGTTAGGACTTGAGGGGGAAATTCCTGGAAAAGGCCATATCCTATATCTGGTGGATCTGTTGTCCCATGCAGGAAGAACTCGATTAACCTCCAGCAGGAAAGCACAGTTTCCATCCCATTTGTTCAAGAGAACAAAACAGATAATTATATTAAATCTTTTGCGCACGCATTTCAGTTTTACTAAAACAACACGATGGTATGCATTGATGTTGGTCCACTGGTCCATCTGTGGAGTCAAAGTTACTTAAGTTTTTATGTTGTGCATGGAGGAATTTATTTGGTACACGTGTTTCCAGTTTAGTTTATGTGCATGCCTTCTTATCAGATAATAATTATCTGCCTCAATTGGACACATATGTTTATTATGCATTTTTTTGTAAGGACCTACATGACAGTAAGTGCTTGTGTGCAGTTCAAAAGGATTCTTTTGAAGTACATTAGTGTTGATGATATATTTTAAACTTGTTTTGAGATTATACAACTGAACTGACCAAGTTTGAAGTTATTGTTCATGATGTAATGTTGTAAATGATTCAAAGATTTTTTTTTACAGAGTATTACATCGCTTATTTACTATCTATCTATCTATCTATCTATCTATCTACCTGTCTATCTGTCTATCTATCTACCTACCTACCTATCTATCTATCTATCTATCTATCTATCTATCTACATAATTGTAAATAATACAGTATTGCCAAAACTGA